GCATTCTTTTTTGTACATCATTTTCGTGTAACCTTATGTACATCAGATCTTGTCAGCCAATGAAATCGCAAGATAATTACACATGATTTTTTGGCTAATTTTGTGTAACACTATGTACATCAAATTTATCATATACGTACGTACGTACATACGTACGTACAGTACGTTTGTTTACGGAAGTGCAACATTTACAATAATGATACTTATGCTATAACAGCATAAGCTGTTCTTTATAAAATAAGACATTTTTATTATCTTGGCATTACGTATATAGAGAAAATAAATGGTTAAATTTCATTTCGAGCAACATTTTTTTTTAAAAAACTGCACAAGAAAATAAGCGTTATTGAATCGATATCTTTATTATTAATTAACATAAATCGAATGCACCATAGATATTAAAGACGATTTAAAGATCATATAAACTTCATGTTCCCGTTACTAATAAATTTTATTCAATTGTTTGAGCCAGCCTGAACTATATGACGATTAGAATCGTTCGAATTATTGTATAGTTTGAGCTCGATAATAATCAACTCTAGTAAGAAAAATGGAAACCTGCATTAGAAAGTAATTGTAGCAATGATAATAGAAAAACATCTTTAAAATAAATATCTCAGATATATTACCGTATTTTTAATTTAGTTATAATTCGTCGAATATATAATAGTTGTACACTTACTGCAAAATGTTACTTTTTCTTACATACAATTTATCTAATCATCGTCTATTTTTTAATACTTACCTTACAATCTTTCTTGTTTTTTTCTAGTATAAGTAAATCAATATGTTGCTTGCAAATATGTTAGATAAATTGAATCATGCAAAATACAAAGCGCAAAATACAAATGCAAAATGTCTCATACATATATATCAAATGCAACACAAATGAAAACCTATGTAAAAAGAGTAAGCCAATCTGTAGAAAAACCTAGACGATTACAAATAGAAATATACTGTGGGTTTAAAGATGGAACTTCCGCAGACTTATTTGGCTTGAATTTGATTAACACAATGTGATTACTTTCATGCCATTGTAAAACAACGGGCTTTCTACGAAGACCAGGTTTTTGCCCAAATGGTAAAAACAAAAGACTAGCATTAGAGTCTGCACCGAATATTACAACTGGTACGTTGAATGTGTCCGATGCTAATTGTGCGCATTCTGAAGTATAAAACCAATATTCTTGTGAAGACCCTGATACCATATGTGACAGAACATTCATAAGCCGATTGGTGTTATATC